GGCCTCCTTTTGGTTGAGACATTGGCCTGCTGAACGAGCTCGGAATGTAGCGAGTTTGTCCAAGTCTACATTGCGAGTGCGTAGTTGTGATACCAATTCGGCCACAAATACTGTAGTGCCTATGTTGTCAAAAGGAAGGACGAAGGTTTCTCTTCCGTATGCAACTCGGCGAAGCCAAGTATTGTGTAAGCCCTGGTACAAGAACTTCCAGAGTGGGACTTGTAAAGGATCCATCCCTTCAATGTCCTTGTAGCTTGAAAATCTGCTCTGTCGGATTCTAGAAGGGAAGTCCAAACCATTGATCTTGTTGGAGTCGTGGAAGTCGACATCAGGTTTCCAATTCTCAACTGGTGGGATTTCAATTGGTCTGCATGTATATCCTTCGTTGACAGAAGAACTTGCTCCTGGGGATGACATAGGTCTCGGTGATCTCGGTGTAAAAGGGTGACGTTGAGGTGCAAAACTGGCGTTGTTGGGGGGTGTCTGTGAGCTCGGAGGCGGCGTGGGCGGAAAAGGTGCCGTAGGCGAAGTCCATGGTGGGCGTGTTGGGAACGATGGAGACGTAGGCGGTGGAGGCGGTATTCCGGATGGGTTCCAAAAGGGTCGATGGGTCGTCATGGCATAGTGCATCGGGCCACGGAACGCCGGTACTGCTTGGTGCCAACCATGTGGATGACGAGGTGGTGTGCGCGAGCGATCCGGCTGGGAAGGAGGAATTCCATTCATATCCGCGCTGTATTGGGAGATCAGGTCCTGGGACGCCATGAGGTAGAGAGGGTCACGAGACAATAGGTCAAAATGCGCTCGAACTGCCGAATGAAAGCTGCGAGAAATGTCAGGGTGAGACAAGGATAGTGTGCGAGTGAAAAAGTGAAACATAATACGAGGTTCCAGTGTGTGAAACATAAGGTGAAAACGAATCTTGCGCAAGGATCCACAATATGAGCATGCAGCGAGTCACAAACCTTTTGAGGAAGAAGTGGCAGCAGTACCGAATGTCGGGAGAAGCATTGTTACTCCAAAATAATCGGGCAGGGCCACTAGGCTCACTGGATCGCCGACGTAGAATAGTCGATACTTGTTCTGGTACTCCTCAAGGGTAAAGAATTCACCAACGAGATTTGGAGTGGTGGGTCGAATGTCGAGAACGAGGTCGGCCTTCATGGTGCTGGTCGCGAGAATGGTCGTCATAATATGAGGATCGGCGATCTCGGCGGCTGTAGGTGGAATTGTCCCAAGCAGCATTGTCATGCCAAGATCGGCGAGCATAGTCCCGGGAGCCAGAGGTAGCAGTCTCGCGGCGGCTCGGTGTATTGTGAGAGTCGTCCGGGGCCGGCTCCGAAGGTTCTGGGGCGTCGGCAGAAGGGTCAGGTCGTACTGGACGTGCAGAATCATCAGGAGGTTCCGAAGGTGCATTGGTCTCCGCAGTCTGGTGTGTGATCAAGCCCGGGAAAACCTGGTGAGTGGAGGCGACGTAGCATATAGATGCAGCGCTTGAGTTCATAGCCGTTGCATTGTCTTTGCCCTTGGCGATGCCCGCAAGGTTGCACAAGCGTTGGATTTGGTCATTTCCTCCAGCTAGGGCACGGATGCATTTGGGTGAGCGGCATATGGCCAGCAGGCCTGATGGGTTTTGTCCTTTGCCTATTTTGTAAAGCTGAGAGGTACAAATCCTGACAGCATAGCCGGGTAGGTTGTCGGTGTCTGCGATCTCAGAGGACATTCCGAAGAACCCGTAACACGGGTATTGGGTCGGTATACCGGCTTCGTTTTTTGTCCAAGTTGCCGGGCGGATGCAGTCTTCAGCAAGAATTTTGGCAACTGATTCCCAACTTGTCTTGTGGTAGATCAGGTAGGTGCCCATGTGTTCGCCACGGTAGATTGGTTTCTTCTTCAATCCTGTGGGAACCGTGATGGTCAGCAAGTTCTCTGGTTCAATATAGAAGGCTTGTGTTTGCTTTGCAAGTTCGATGTCCAGTAAGTCGGATTGTGCAAAGGCCCTGGCAATATTCCTGACGGTGGCTTGGCTGGCTTTGATCCAAATACGATGGTTGTTGACGGTGCGGTATGGTTTAGCCAACTGTTCGAACATCGCGTCCACAAACTGGTTGAAGAGCTGCAAGATAGCCGGGGTCAATGATTGGCGTAGAGGAACAACATGATCGGGGCCAAGCTCGGTCAGGCATCGAACTCTATGGGGGTCATTGGCCGCCGCCACCATTTCATCGAGGTCGATGTCATTCGTGTCAAACTTGGTGAGCGAAATGGTATCAGCAACCTCAGAATTTTCACTGTCGCCGTCCGGAACTCGGAAGGACACCGCGCCGAGTGGTGCTGAAGTGTGGGTTGGTGGGTTGGTTTGTGGTTCCGATGGTGGTGGATCAGTAGGAGAATTGGGTCGAGCAGTGTGGTGGTCGTAGGCGTCGTTGTAGTGGCTTTCGTTCCATGTACCCCAGGTGTCATCAGCATCAGGAGTAGGAATGTAGTTCGGATTGGATGGGTTTGCAGCAGGTCGAAGTATGACTTCACGGCCTCGGGATCGGTGACGTGGTGTCGCGGAGCGTGGGCGTGGATGGGAGCGGTGACGTCGAGGGACCACAGGAGAGCGGCGTCGTGGTGGTGAGCGTCGTCTGTATGGAGATGGTGTTCTGCGGCTCTTGTCGGGTTTCGTAGATGATCGATGACGAGGGAGAGGAGAACGAGGTCGCTCTGTACGTGGAGGAGAATGGCGAAGGCGATAGGAATGTACAGAAGGTCGATGGGAACGTGATCTTGGAGTTCGGGATCGTGGTCGGCGTGTTGGTGGTGGTGGACCGTGTGGTTGGTGAGGAGGAGCGATGGTTGGAGCTGGGACAATGCGATGGTCCTGAACGTCCGGTTCGGTGGGTCTGGCCTTTGGTGCAGGTGGAGGCGTGGCGATCAGTGGTGGTGTAGGTGTAGGTGGCGGTATCTGTGGTGTAGGATTCGGTGGATGTTCATCTTGTTGAAGAAGGAGTTGACGTTGTTCTTGTGCCCGTTGAGAATCCAGGAGTAATAGTTGCTGAGCTTGGATAAGTCGAACAGATTCGGCCAGTTGTTGTGCGGTGGAACCCAGGGATGCAAGTTCAGGTGGAACGGATGAAGTCGGTGCTGTCTGAGGTGTCGATGGTGTAGCGTGAGGAGGGGTTTTCGGAGCTGGTCTGCGCGGTCGATCCGGTCTTTTGTCAGAGCGATGCCTGGGAGCTGCTTTGACTGCTGGGGGCCGTGGTGAAGGCTCATTTGGAGGGATCGTCGATGCGTCCATCTGTAATGGAGGTTGAATGTGGTGAGGTGGGTATGGAGAACTGGGCAAAGGAGTCGGTGTCATAGTCGATGTAGGTGGTGTAGTCGATGTAGGGGATGGAGCCGAAGTGGAAGGCCACGCGGGTGGAGCGGTAGGTGCCATAGGAGATGGAAAAGTCGACGGAGCGGTGTGTACCATAGTTGGTTCAGGAGCCAAAGGTGAAGGCATGGTGGGTACAAGTTGTGGACCTGGTACTGCATGAGGAGCCGAAGTCAATGAGGTGAACGGCAACGATGTTGGGGCGGATGTAGACGGCATGAGCGAAGCGGAGGATGACCATGTAGGATGCAAAGCCGAGGGATGTCCAAATAAATGTGCACTCGGTGTCGATTGCGGCCACGTCGAAGATGGGTTCGAAGGCTGTGGTGGAGCAGGCCATGATGTTGGAGTGTTCCACGGATGCATCGCTTCAGTAGGTCAAAACAAAAGTGGACAATTGTAAAAAGTTTCACATACAGGATTCAGTCCCTAACTACCTACAAAATCGTGCAATTATTCCCTGCACCGGGACCGTGGTCAAGTCGTGCCGCAATGGCATAAAACAGCTTTCAAGTTCCAACGAATTAGGTGCACAATATGTTTCACCTCACCAGACAACCATCAAAAGAAAGGATCACCACACCTGAAAGTCGTGTGCCTGCCTGATTTCTCTGTCATGATTTGATGCAACGGTGTTGCAAAGCAGCTGCAAAAAACGGAGGTTTCAGAACATTCGGAATGGCTTCCCTTGAAAGAACGCAGCACTGGGGTCCCTGGGACAATAGGAGCGGCGGGACATCACAAAAGGCGAATAACCGAAAGGCTGGCTGTTGCACTTTACTTAAATGAATTACTGAGTTGAAAAGTGTAAATTCAGAATTCAAGTCTGTCAACACTCACCCTGAAGAGGGTTGCCTCCAATGGCTCCATGGCACCATGTCGGAGCCACCATGGAAATCACACTAGACAAGAATGGATCATTATATGATCCGGCAGGAACTGAATCCTGAAACATGCAAACCAGCCTAGATTATTAGATGAATAAAAGAGCCACATGAGATACTTCTCGCAAACGATGTAGGGCATCCGAAATTGTCAAACGTAGTCATAACCAGATTCCATAGAGTTTTGACCAGCATGTGGAAATCCAAAATAATGTTTCGGCGATTGTTTCCCAAAATAACCCATAGTTCGTCGGCGACAGGGTCTCGGCGAAAATAAGTCAAAAAACATAATACTGTCGGCGATATGGTTTCGGCGAAAATCTGAGGAAGGTTCTGATGCATGCAATACAGATTGTGGCAACCGTGTAGATTCGAAACAACGCAGTGTAACAGCTTGATCAACAGTTGAAACCAAATTTTGCAGGTACACAGAGTTGATCAGACTCTGCTTCCAGCACAAGTGGATAGCTTCGTTGGGTGCAGTCTCCACTGTGCTCTGCACCCCCCTGCAAATTAGTGAAAACCAATCAGAAGTTTTACATCTGTTCAGATGGTACACACACACATGGAACACATCCATTGCTTTGAGACGTTTCCGCGCCTTCGAAAGGGCGTGAGATGAAATTGAATTAGTTCTACTTGAACTTTTTGGAAATACAGGGTGAATCCAAACATGATTCACCAACTGATTCATCAATTGATTCACCATTTCACCATGAGTTTCAGATGTCCTTCTGGACATCCTTCGTTTGGAGGACCGTGTGAGGCGGATCTACAACAACGTGCAGCTGCGCCTGCCCTCCGCGTTTCGTGACGCTGGCAGCGACTCAGAGCACAGCGCGGATGCGGTCTCAGGGCGTCACAGCGAGGCCTCAGAGGATGGCGACTTGAAGGCCATCTCCCAGTCTGGGGATGAAAATGGATGAAATATGATGACATATGTTACTTTATTATGATATTTTAGTATATACTTTAAATGTATAATACAAATTCATGGCGTTTGAAAACAATTTAAAACTGCTTGATAAACATCTTTAGTCACTACCAGATGCAGATCGTTCCACGGGAACATAGGAAATCTGAGTCCACAAACTGAGCTGTCTATGTCTAAACTTTCAAAGATCTTCAAAGTGATGAGTTTCGGTGCAGGATGCAGCTGTACGGCTGTTTGGCAGCGCCAACCTGGGCCATGTCGTAGCGGATTTGTCCCATGGAGCACCGGTGAAGTCGCCCGACAAATCGCAGGATCGGGACCCGTCCGGTTTGATCGCTCGAGCTCTGAGGGGTGAGGATGAAAGCAGCGAGGATTCCGCCGTGGACGACTTCCGAGCCATGAGGAAAGCAGTCAAGGACCAGCCCTCCATAAAAACATCACAACATATGACAACATATGACAACATATGACAACCATATTACACGAATTACTAGATTACGACTTAATTGCACAACATTCATGTTGACTTGGCATGAAGCTCATGTTTTCAATGTATGTTTGGGAGCAGTGAGGATGTTGTCATGCTGTGTGTAACTTGGAGTGAAGATGAGTGAAGGATATATTGTCACAACATATCATATCTATTCATATCTATTCATATCTATTATGTTTCGTTCTTAAATATATGGCATATCAATGGCATATCAATGGCATATCAATGGCATATCAATGGCATATCATGTGACTGTTTCGAAGTTTCTCTTTGGTTTGTTTCTCCCAAGGAGTCCAGTCAGCAGGTTGCAACCGATCCCAAAAAGCCGCTGGTCAGAAAGCTTCGCCAAGCGATGCCAGCGAAGCCAAAGCCAAAGCCGGAGCCAAAGGCCACAGGATTTGTTCGTTTGGAGCTTGTTGAAAGCACCAGTGAAGAAGAAGATGGAAAGAATGAAGTCAGTTCTGAAGACGAAGAAATCAGTCTTGAACAAGACTCCCATCTTCGCGTCTTGCACCGCTTGGAAAGCTCGGCACCGACTGGTGAATGCCCTTGGGATGTGTGGCTTCAAGCGACACGGTCATGGCCACAGCTGAAAACGAAGCTGAATTCTCCGGATTTTTGTCGCCAAAATGGCGACCTTTGTGTGAACTTCGATGTCGAGCTGTTGAAAAAGTTGATCCAAGAAGAGAAGGCAGCACGTGCCGCTGCGCGCCAAGCGCGCATTGATGACCAGGAGAATCAGAAAAATCGTGTGAACGAATACATCGAAGAAGCTGAACGAAGACGTGAGATGATCAAAGGCCGCATCGGTGGTTTCCTCCTCGCACCTCGCAGTGAGAAATTGGAAGAAACTCTCCGAAGGTCGGCCATGTCGGCCAAAGCCGAAGAGAACTCCTTCAATCCACCGCCACGGCCCTCAACGTTCGCACGACTACGACCATCTACCAATGGATCCCATGGACAGGTTGGACAAGTTGATGCAATGAATGCAGTGAAAGTGAACTGAGAGATAAAAAGAAACGATGAAGACTATGCTGAAGTGCATGTTTTGACATGCTTTTTGATTTGGGGAATTATTGGTACGTAACATAATATTTAAGTAACCTTGATTAAATACTGCGCATATCCAATGTTTACACGTGTACAGTTGAAGTACTTACACATTTTTCTTCGCGGCGTTTGTACATAATCCTGTCTCCTGTGCAGATATTTGCAGTGGCGTGACGCTTCCGCTGCTTTTTGCTGAGGCTTGGTCACCTCGAGCCATTCGAATAAACGGCTGGCGCTACAGCGGAATGCTTGAAGCAGACCTGGTGGTTCGCGCTGTCTGTTCGGGTTTTATCCATATGCATCTTGGCTTCTCATGCTCTTACGGACCAGAAGCTTCCTCATGTGCAGAGGAACGCAGAGAACTTAAACACTCAACTGACTTTTTCGATGGTCAACATTCTTTGCACATGTTTGAACCCTCGAGAGTTTTAGTCCTTTCTTTTGTATTCTTTTGTAGGATTGCTGGTCTACTTTACCCAGTTATCTTCCTGTTTCCACCGCATTACTCACCACTCATTGAATTCTCCACCCTACATTCTCCACTTCCATCTGTGCCCATCTTTCAAGACTATTCTTTGGCGATTGAGCCAAAATATTCTCAGTCTGAGAAGGCGCAGAGTTCGATTTGCACAGTATTTTTCTGTGACGTTGCCCAGTTGCCCTTTCTGTGTTCATTTTGAAATCCCACTCCCCACTCCTTATTTTTCCATTCTAGGTTCCCGCAAATTTTACCTCAGAATGCGGCCGATGCTATGTAAGAATTATGCAATTTTAAAATTAGCAACGTTTCATGTTATTTTGCAGACCCTTTGCTACATATAGACAAAGCGTCCAAACATCATAAAGAGAACTTGCGCAAGACAAAAAAACGACTACGTTGACATTTAGGGTGGTTCTGGAAGCCTTGAGGAAATATCCAAGGCATGTTCTTTGCAACTTGTTGTCCATTGGGTGAAGACTTTTGGCAGCTTCAATCTCATCCCCCACGAAATTGGAATGATTGGAATGTGGTTTACCATGGTTTGCCTACCTTTGGCTTGCCGCCTTCAACTGTCATCAACTGTCCTCAGATGCCTAGCGGCTGTCTTCGCACGGCTTCCGCTCGATTCTAGATGTCCCTTTCCTGCCGAGGCCAGCCGAATGCAATCAGCTTTACCAGCAGCGAGACGTCTTCCGGCCCTACGTTGTGCAGAAGGCTGTAGATCCAATCTGACTCCATCATCCTGGTCCTGCATCATCCAGCATGTAAACACTAATATTGAAGGATATTGCAGGATATTGAAGGTATAGAATGCGCGACGATCAAAAACGGAGAACTTATGACTGGAGAGCAGTTGTTCCCCGAAACGCGAAGCAATGCCACGTAAGATCATTGAGCGAGCCGATGTTGCTAGTGACAACAGAAAGATCGTTCCTTCCAACCAGCGCCATTTTTTTCCGGTAGATTTCTTTGACATTCAGATTTCTTTTCCTGCATTTGTTCAATGATATAGTTCTACGATATAGTCATATATATATAGTCTTATGAACTTACGATGTTTTATAATGTACTTCTCGGCAGGCCGGCGTCAGCCTTGGTGAGCTTTTCGGATGGCTTCTTGCCACCATAGCGCTGGGATTTGTCGGCCACTCAGAGTTGACCGATCAAATGCTTCTAACGACAACCTGTACGTTTTAGCCGTTTTAGTGTCCTTTTCAACCATGGGAAAGATGTTCGCATAAGGATTTATATTTTGGAGTATTTTGGTTGTGTCTTCCAGCACTTTGACTATTGACTCCTGCAGGTTTGCATGCTGTTGTACAAGTGCTGAACTTAAAGGGAATGAATTGAGGGACAACTTCGCCCGTCACAAGTCCTAAACACTGTACTGAAGAAGAGCAGCAATTAACTGAAGCTCTTTGACAGAAACCTTCTGTTTGACTCTGATTCGTTTTGAGCCCGCATGTGTACTGAGCGATGCTAGATGCAGAGCCTTCTGAATCTCACTTCAATGTCCAAAGGATGGTTGGTAGTAGTCAATTTTTGTTTGTTGCCTCTACTGTTTCTTTTCCATCACTTCGATGCATGCTGATTGCCTATACTGAAATTTGACAGACTGAGGCGCTACTTGAAGAAAGAGATGCGCACAACGCTTCGAGAAGAGGCACGTGGCATCATGTGGATCATGTCGATCATGTGGCTAAAGACGACTCGTGACGACTCTGGTTGCTTCTGTTTGTGCAAGATATTGTGATATATTGTGATATTCTAGATTATTTACCTTGCCTTGTGTCACTTGAGAAGGACGGTTCCTTGCTAGGTACTTAGCTTGGTTAGCTCACTTAGCTAAGCATGTGCTAAGTATCTGCTAAGGTTCAATTTCGTTCACTGGAATCCTTTAACATATAGTGTTTTGGTGGGAACAAAAAGTTCTTGAAGAAAGAAAATAAAATAACACATTTCATCAGAATGATGCATGATTTTCTGCATTTGATGGCTATAATGATTATCCTGGCAAGAATATGGAGCATGATTTTTGCATTTGGTGGCTGTAATGATTATCCTGGCAACAACATATAACAAATCCATTGGGTTTGGTTGTATGTACAACATGGAAATCTGCTTTGGATTTCCATGCAAAAGCCATTCACTCAGCTCATTGCCCATGGTGTGATTGCATCTCAATGGAAGAAAAGTTGGTGCACAAAAGCAAATGGGAAGCAAATATGTCATGCCAAAAGCACTGAGTGCTATGCCACAAGCAACATGTCCATGAAGCATGCATGGCTTGCATGTATGAAAAGCAATGGGTGCTAAGCCAAAAGCACTGGGTGCTAAAATAGAAGCTATCCAGGTGGCATGCCAAAAGCACTGGGTGCTAAAATTGGTGCTTTCAAAGCAATGCGCATGGAGAAGATGCTGTGGTAACTTAGAAACACAACTGGTCAGGAAACTGCAGACTTTTTTTTCACTTGCCAAGACATTGCTGCCTTTGGCAATGGTCACTGTATAGATGTGGCCACTCATATTGGTACTGCATGGTCCTTCTCCATGGCATGGTCACCAATTCCTTTGGTCCTGGTGCCCTTGGTCTGGTGCTTGGTCATAGCCTCCTTGCTCATGGTGGTCTGCAGGTGGAGGCCATTCCCCACAAAAATGTGGGCCATTATCAATGAAGGATCGAATCCATGGTCTGCCACAATGGGTGCATGTGGCTCTTTCATTGGTTTTGCTGCACCATATCCATGATGGGCACCCCATGGCACTACAGTGTTGTGCCCATAGGTTGCTCCTTGGCTCACACTTGGACAAGTCTATGGCTGCTGGTGGCCCTGGCCTATGGAAGGCTATGGGGCGCCCCCATGCATCCTCACCCATCCATTCACCTTGGTTTGGTGCTCCATGCTCTGGCACCTGCTCTGCTAGCTCTTGGGGTGCTGCTGGTTGCAAAACACATCCCATGGCTGTCAGTGCTGGTGGTTGGAATGGTTTTGGAAAGCACACAGTGCTGGCTTGGTGCTATAACATTGCATACAAAACATTGATTTTGTGAAGCTTCATCTGTAACATGAAAATATGAAAGCACTGTGTGCTACAAGCTCCAAGCAACTCCCCCATGCCACAACCAAAAGACAATGCTGAACACTGTGCACCTGGGAAGCATTGATTTTCCTGCATGTATGGCATCTAGTCTTTGGATGGTCTGTAGGCCCATGGAATGAGAACCCTGGTGGCTCTTTCTTCCTCTGCATAAATGAGAGGGCAAAGGATGGCAGAAGTTTCTATCAGCTGCAGCTGATCCTGAATTTGGACTTGTGCTGAATGGCTGGAATAAAAATATTCTATGCATGTGCAAAAAGTCACAATGGAGTACACAACCCCTTGGACTTCAAAGTGGTGTTCCATTCTGGCAACTTGCCATTTATAGGCATTGGTGCTGCTGACAAGAACAAAATCCTTGTTGTGGATGGAAGCACAACTTGGCTGAAGTTGCAGTCCAAACCTGGTCCTTTGGAATTTTCTGATTGAAAATTGCTTCACAAAGAAAAGCATGAAATTTTGAATTGGGAGCATGCTTGTTCAACAATTGCACCCCTGCTTCCAAATTGTCTGAATGCTGCAAGTTGTACAAGTCATGGGCTAGGCATTCCTCCAGCAGGCTGAGGCTGAATCCTGTCAACTTCTTGGTCTGGTTGCCAAACTTCATGATGGTTTTGTGCTTTCTTTCAAGGCTGAAACAGTTGGGAAGAAAGCCCCATACTTGCAAATGGGTTGCCAGATGGAGCATCCAGTGATGCTTCCTCAGCATCATGGCTTCGCCATTGCAATCTTGAAGGAGTCCAAGGCCTCTTCAATGGCTTGCTGCAACCTGGGTGGCTGCACTTGGCCAAGCTGGGTGGCTTGCAGCATCTCCAAGACTTCCACCATGGCCAAAAAGCTGTGGCATTGGTCCAAATGGGCAGCAGCTGGCACACAAATGGTGTTTACCAGGTATGCCAGCAGGGTGGAGAGGCCAATGGCTTCTGATGCTGCGCATTTGAACTTGGAATTTTCCTTGTAAAATTTGATCCTCTTGGTTTGGAACAAATCATGCAAGTTTCCCGCTTTGGCCATGGCTTTTGGCAAAGTCTACAACTGGAGAAATGGCTCCAGCTGGTCCCACATGTCCAGCTGGGAAAGCAGCAACCAAATGGACCTTGGGATCACTCCTTGGGAAGCCATGGTGTGCATCCAGTCATGGATGTAGCCACTAATTGGCTTCAAGAGATTGCTATCCAAGAGGGTCTGGTTGAGCAAAAGGGCATGGTGGTTGAAGGTGATGCCAGATGCTTTCTCCCACATTTCAAAATGTTTCTTGGATAATGTGGTGCACTTGTCCTTGCAAACCTGGAATGCATCCAAAACTTCTTGGTCAGTGGACAGGATGCAATCTGCAAGCTTGGTCACATGAGACCCTGGTATATCTTCCTCTGGTGTACCAAAGAAATGGCCCTGATGTTGCTGCACAACATGCAAAACTTGTCACCAGAAGCCCCCTTGATATTGAAGGTTTGCTTCATGGCTAAGCCATCTTGGACAAAGCCACCCAAATCAAAGTACAGCATGACATCCATGGAGGTTACTTGGTGTGGCATGTACAAGCCATTCCTTGGATCACAAGCTGGCCCCAAGAATATTGCTTCAATGAGCTTGGCAAAGACTTGGCCAATGCTTGCTTCCAGTTCAGCCACTATAATGGATGGCAATATGGCTAAAATTAACCAAGCATCTTCACATTGGAGCTTGGTTTTGTGTTGGGCAAATGATCCATATATGGCATAAACCTTGCGGTTTATCCTGGATGCCAATGGATTACCTGGAGCCACTTCATCTGAATAACGCAGCAAAGACCATGGTTTCTCTGGACTGCTTGGGTTCTCTGTATGGGCTTTGTGGAAAAAATTGGCCCATGAGCCTTGGAGCTGGTAGGCTCCAACCAGCAAGCTCAAAAAAATCACTATCCAAATTGGTATCAGGGTTCCATCTGTGGTCACCACATTGGTCTCCAACAGCAATGGTCCATAGGCATTCATGGAAGACAACTGGAGCCTGGTGGCTTCTTTCATAGCTTTGGCATGCCTTATATCAGGTAACCCTTCTTGGTGGATCTTTTGCAGCAAGGATGCTAAAGCTGCTTCGGTCACAAATGGGCATGACCTTCTCAAGTCATTGAGCTTTTGAAGCTTGGCAGGCCTGCTTGAAGAAGAGGAAGCCATGGCTTTGCTGTTTAGCAAATGGAAGCAATTCCTTGAAACAACTTGGGGCTAAGGTAAGTGAAATGGTTCATGTTTGATTCTTGCTAAATTACAACATTGTTGGTTGGTCTGTGGCTCTGTGATACTTTCTTTTCTGTCTGCATATAAAGAAAAAGCAGCATGAATACATATAGGTGGACCAGCATCCCTGTGCAAAGAAATATGACTGTGGTAAAGCACTGTGTGCTGCTTTGCAAAATGATCTTGTTAAAGCACTGAATGCTACTTACATGCTTGCATTGGATGCACAAACAAGAAGCAGCATGCATTCTTTTCCTGCATGACATTGAAGCTGCAAGTTGCTGGTCAATTAGCTTCACATGGCAACCCATGTGGCAAACCCAAAGCATTCATTGCTGGCTTTTTGCAGCTGGGTCAGCATGAATGAATTACATTGCACCTTGGCATTGTTGGTCCATACATGTGGCCACATTGGTCCATAGCTACTTGGCATTGGGGCACATCCGGTACCAAGCCTTTCTGCCATGGACCTTCAAACCTTTGAAACCTGGCTTTCTGCAGGTGGCACAACCTTTCAAGTTGCCTCTGCACCTGATGCAACCATATGGCCCTCTGCCTTTGGAAGTGGCATTGGCCTTGGCATTTGGCTTCTTCTCTTTGTTGGCACCCTTGGCCTTGTCAGTCTTGGCAACCTTGGCAGTCTTGGCGGCCTTGGCAGCTGCAGCTCTTTTCATCTTCTGGGGTTGCTGCTTTTCTAACATTGCATTGAAAGCTTGTTGGTTCCACCGGTCCAGTGTCTTGGTAGCCTTTCCATTCTTGTTTTTGGCAGCCTCTTGGTTCAGATTGTCTGGTGCTTGCACAGGCACAATTGCTTCTGATGGTGCAGCCACTTGGGGTGCAGCTTGCTGGCTCTGGGATGCAGCTTGCTTGCTCTGTAAAGACAAAGCTTGGCCATTGGGATGCTGAGCCCCTTGGCTTGGCACTTGCTGGCATTCTGGTGCATTGCATTGCAAAGGCAAAGCTTGGCTATTGCATGGCTGGCTCCCATAGCTTAGCTCCTGGTGGCCTTGCTGGTTATCTGGTGCAAACTCAATGGAAATGCATTTGGCTGCAAGGCATGTGTTGGTGCATTGCCATGTGTGGCTGGCTGCACAAGGGTTGTCCTATTGGCTCCTTGGAGGAGCTTGCTGGTGCACCTCACTGGAATGTGGTGGGCCATGATCAAAGCCATCTGGTCAAAGTACCTGGCCTCAGGCTTCTTGTCTTGGTAAACCAATTGGAGCACCTCCTGGCCCAGGGACTGTGGGTCTTCTGGGTAAACTTGGAGGCATGGAACACTATATGGAGCATCTGGCTGGTTGGCCACAGCTTGGCTCAAGTGCCCCACCAAATTGTAAATAGCATGGTATGGTGGCAACTTCTTGCACCCTTGCTGCTGTTGGATGCACAGCAAAATGGCAACAGCTGCCCTCTTGGTGGTCTCTTTGATGCTCTTGACACCCATGTACTTCAGCCTTTTGGCCAACACAATGGCTCCTTCCCATGAATTGGTGGATTCCAACTGGGACCAATCTTCCTTAGTTAAATATTGGTTGAGGTGGTCACAGGCACCGGCTGCAGTGGTGACCTTGCAAGCAATGTTTCCATTGGCATTCACCATCAATTTGTCCACCTCTTTGGTGATGGCATCCTTCATGTTTGTTGGAAGCTTGGATGGCTTGATGTGATTCAGCAACATGACAGCATCTGGGCTGGTCAGTCCATTCATCTTGGAAAGCTTGTAGGTGGCTTGCTGGGTCAGGCCTTGGGCAAGCTTATCATCCATATTCCTGGCTTCAAGGAGCTGCTCATTGGCTTTCAATTCTGCCAACAAAGTTGTGACACTGAACATGGCTAAGGTGGTGCACACAGCACACTGCCAGAAAGGTTTTTTTGAAGACAAATGCTGCAATTTCATTAACTCAATGGTCATCTGCAATGGTGTAAGCACTGTGTGCTGCAACTGTGGCATCAAGACAAAAAGAACTTGGATGTTAAAGCACTGTGTGCTTCTCTTGGCACATGTAAAGAAACAACTTGTTAAATCTGCACTGCAAGATGTTTTCTCCCTTGGCTGGTATCTAGCTCTGGTTGGCTTGGGTGGTTCAGCACTTTGGCTGAACATGGTGCCCTTAGCAGCACCAGCTGAAGTTGAAGGGGTTTGGCCAGTGGCAATGGGTGCCAAACCAGTAGTCCACCTCATACTGAGTCTCCTGGTAGTCATGGTAGAGGAGCAGCTCTGCTAAACCATCCCTGGAGATCCTGGCATAAAATCTAGCCATGAAAACAAAAGCCATGCCACAGCAACACAAGATCAAAAGCACCAGGTGCTAGCCCAAACAAAAAAAACACATGAAAATGCATAGATGATGATTCAACAGCACATGGTTGTCAACAGTCCTATAGTAGGTGGCCTGGTTGTTTTGGAGCATGGCCACTTCTCTCTGGCCACCATCATCACTCCATTGGGAGAACATCAGCAAAGCTGGTCCCATTGGTGGCTCATACCTTGGTGTTTTGTATGGTGTCACAACTAATTGGGACATTTTGCAATAACTTGCACACCATGGGTGCATGGTTGATGTGCTTAATGCAGTTAAGATGCCACTGGAGCCATCCATTGGTGAATTCCACCACCCAGTACCTTTGGCCATTGCACCATTGCAGGCCAGCATTAGCTATGGTCACCCTGGTGGACATGCTGGCTGGAGCCAACTCACAATGCAATGCATTCAAAGCCAATTGGTGGTTAATCCCTCAAGCACTTGGTGCTGCTGCAACTGCAGTACTGGTCAGGCTGCATGCTTTGTTTCTCCAACGTTGATTTGCACATGGTCTTGGCTTCTGGTATTTTAGCCAAACCAATAGTCAATGTGTGGCTGCATGGCTTCATAGTCTTTGTACAAGAGCAGCTGGGTGAGGTCCTCTATGGAGATCCTGACATATGTTCTGAGAACACAAAAATTATTCAAAGTTATAAGTACCAAGTGCTGGTATGAAAGAAACAGATTTCACACATAAGGACCAACTGCTTGTACCTACAAGCACAAAGTGCTGATATTCAAATCTAAAATGGAAATTGCAATGTTGCTTCCAAAATGTTAATGGAGAATGACATGCACAGCTGGCCCAAGCTTCTGTCATGGATGCACTCTTGGTCTACCAGTTGGCAAACCAACCTTGTCCTGGGCCTTTGAGCATAAGGAACTGGGACCCACATGCTAAATTGATGGTCTGGAGGGGGTTGAGGTGGTTTGTACCTTGGACTTCAAACCAAAAACATTATGTGAGAAGAAACATAGTCAATGTTTGTGTTTACATGCAACCAAAGTGCCACTGGTACCATCCATTGGAGAATGCCAACACAAACCATTTTGTTTCATCATATTTACATGTGAAGTGATCAGTTAACATCACCATGGTAAATTGAACTGACAAATGCCTGCAGGAAATCCATTGTATTTGTATTAAAAAAACTAATGTATAGCGGATTGGCAAGCAAAGAAACAGATAGAAACACCTAGCTTTAATGAAGCAAACATAAATGCATATTTGAATAATATAGAATATATATGTTGATGTTTTTGAAGTTGGTTTGAAACAATATTCAAATAAAAAATAATAACCCAAATTTATATATTAATATCAACACTTGTTTATATATATATATATATATATGTAATTGAAGTTAGCCTAAATATATTATTAGTAATGAAATGTAATTTTATTTAATAGAGACTCATGACTTATTAAGATTTAAGTGTTGGTTCAATCTTATGAAATTTCATAATAAATATAGAAAAACTAATTAATTAAAATAAATTGTAATTAAGATATATATATATATATCTGGAAAATATCTTTAAGGTAATTCATTTGGTTAAGCATCTTAATCAAATCCAATTCCAGATTCCATCTGGTTAAGCCTCTTAACCAAATCCAATTCCAGATTCCATTTGGTTAAGCCTCTTAACCAAATCCAATTTCAATTTCTTAATCAAACTCAACTATATTTTAATCTAATTAATAAAGCAGTCATACAACCCATGTTTAAATTAATTAATATTGATCACACAAATTATATCAAACAAAAACAATAAAAAAAAACAAAAAATAATTAATTCCGCATTGCACTCATACAAAAACATTATATGATTATCATTGCAATGGATTCATTTTTTATGCACATGGCATGAAGCACTTGGTGCTGCATTACATTCATGAAACAACATGGCATGAATCTAACTGCATGGCAACATACAAACATGCATTGCATGACATGTGATTCATGATGTGAAGCACCAAGTGCTAAGACATAATGTGAACCTGTTTTATACTCCCACAGCTCAGCTGGCAGTGGCCTGTTTGGCACTAGTCCTTGCTGGCCTACTGGCGCCAATGGATCCCAAATGGCAGGGATGTGTACCATGGTTCCTGGCACTTCTGGCAGTTGGCCATCTGGTGCATCTTCCACAGCCATGCCCAGCTGGCCAGGCAGCTGGTGCACTTCACAGCCAGGTGGGGCCCTGGTGGTCCATCCTGCAAAGTTGACCATTGATGGTGCCAATCACATAACTGCAACCAAACAAAAACATCACAAACAAACAAATTACATCATATAACTGTAGCTATGTGGAGCCCATATAGTCCTTGGCGGCCTCAGGTGGCTCATCAACCCCCTACTCAGGTGACACAACAAACAAACAAAAGCAAATCAACACCATAAACCAAATGCAATATAGCACAAGATGCTGTCCTGGCTTCTGGTGGCCTTCATGGCATCTTGGTTCTGCTTTTTCTTCATGGCAGCTGGTGGCTCCATGGCCTGCACTGCATTCATGACATTGGCAAAAAAATAAACAGTGAATTGCAAACTAAATGCATCTGCTTTATACTCTATGGCATTACTGGCCTTCATTGCCTTCATGGACTTCATAGCCTTCATGGCCTTCATGGCTGGCATTGTCTTCATTTTCTTCATGGTTGAGTTGGCCTTCATGGCATTGGCCTTGGCCACCTGCAGAAGGCAATGCAAGACACATGCAGCAAAACTGCTGGGCAATCACACTGGTGGCCTTGCTGGCTTTGCCCTGGGTCACCTCCAGGTGCATGCAAGGACTGGTGAAGACAAACATGCATGGGTTGGTTAAACATGCATGGGTTGGTTAAACCTAAATGGAATGCAAACATACCTTGTGTATATATAAAACAAAAACATTGGTGATCTAGCCTTCATGGACTTCATGGGTGGCATGGCTCTGGTCAGCTGGCACAGTCAGTGGTCAGTCGCTGGAGCTACTTGAGCTTGGGTCACTGCTAGAAAAGAACATCAACAAATATGATCATGAAGCACTGAGTGCTGATACATGGAACACAACTGCACTGCTGGGACATGGACATGGCATGAAAGCACTTGGTGCTACATGGACATGGTTGAACATGCAAAACAAAATGAAAACACTTGTTGCTACATGGCATCATGGAAGCACTGTGTGCTGGGACATGGACATGGCATGAAAGCACTTGGTGCTACATGGACATGGTTGAACATGCAAAACAAAAATGAAAACACTTGGTGCTACATGGCATCATGGAAGCACTGTGTGCTGGAGATCAGGCAATGGATCTTTTTAGACCTGCAGCTGTGGCCATGGTGGCCTATAGATCACCAAACCTGGTGTCCCTGCCATACTGGTAGATATTCCACCAGTGCTGCTGGAACAGCTGGTCTATATCATTGGACCTGCTTCTGACCTGCTGGATGTGTTGGGATGCTTCCTGGTGCATCCCCATCTCATGGAGGACAGCCAGATGGACCCATCTGTTCATGTTCCCCTGCTGCATTCTGGGTGTTCTGGCTTTGGCAGCTTTGGCCTGGCCACTTGCAGCTTTGGCATGGTCACTGGCAGCTGGGGCCTGCAACAGAATGTGGCAATGGAAAAAAATGTCAACAAATGGCAATGTAGGCAGCTTTGCATAATACCAGCAGCCTCAAGCACTGGAGCAACTTCAGTAAGGCTAGTGCCCCCAGTGGCAAACATGCATTCTCAAAAAAATGCTTCAACCACTGGGATTATAAGGGTCTGACTGCAGGTGCCACCATGGGTGGAGCTGGTGGTAGGGCACTTGAGCTGGAGGAACCCATGCTGGCCTCTACATGCATAGACATGCATTGCATCTGGTAATATCATTATGTAATGAATCAACCAATGGTACAAGATTTGGCTTTGAATTTAAACAAAGCACTGTAGGTGCTATGCAAGCCTGGGCAGCTGGAGCCTTTGGAGGCGACTTAGGCCTCATGGATCCCTTTGGGGCTGGCTTACCTCTTGGTGGCCCTAATGCTGATGCAGGGTATGCCCTGGCTGCTGTGACTGCTGGTGGTGGTGGTGGTGCTGCTGCTGCTGGTGTTGCCACTGGTGTTGTTGCCTTGGCTGGTGGTGTGGATGTTGCTTTGGCTACCGCTGGTGTGGCTGGCTTGCCTGTGTGTTTTGGTGTATTTGCTTTGGTTGGCATTTGTTTGGGTGGTGGTCTTGCCAATTGTGTTGTTGCCTGTGCTGGTGGTGAGGATGCTGCTTTGGCTGGCAATGGTGTGGCTGGCTTGCCTGTGGGTGTTGCTTTACTTATCTTTGGTGTTTGAAGCAAGATTGGGGGTCTTGATGTAGCTGGCCCTGGTGTTGGCTTGGCTGGCTTGGCTGTTGATTTGGTTGGCACTGGTTCTGTGGCTGGCTTGGTGGGTGGTTGTACTTCCATTTGCTTGGGTTGTTGTACTTCCACTGTGGTGGGTGTCAGCCCCTGTTGTGGTGAGCTGGCCTTTGCTTTTTTCATCTGCCTTGGCATGTCTGCACTGCTGGCTGATGCTGCTGGGCTTGGTGGTCTTGCAAACATGGGGATTGGGATTGAAGAAGCTGGTGCTGGTCCTGGTGTCTCTGGAGGTGAGTTGGGTGCCTCTGCTGTGCCTCCTGGCAAAGGCACTGCAGATGGTATGTTTTCTGCTTTTGGTGTACTTGGATTGGGTGGGATAGGTGGTTGGTCTGCAGGGCTGCTTGGCTCTGTGGGGCTACCCATGTCCTGCAGGCAATTTTTGGATGCCATGAGCAACAATGGTGGCCATGCAACATGAATGCAGGGCACCTCTGCCTTGCTAGACGACATGGTCATGGCATTGTCCATTTCCTACCATTGGAACAAACATATTGGGAATGATATTGGCTTCAATAAAACCCTATTATCCTGACAGTATGTTGGCAATATGTATATATTGATATATATATATATATATTTATTTTTATGTATAGATACATTGCATAGTTGCAAACATGAGACCCCACCTCTTCATCTGGGTCACCTCTGGGATGTCTTTTTGGGAAATCAGCTTTGGACTTGGACCCATGTCTCAGTCGGACCTGCCACACAAGATGGTCACAAGCATTGTGTGCTGAGTAAAATCAGTTTGGAAAAAACACACTGTGTGCTGCATGAAACAAATGGAAAAATGCACTGTGTGCTGAATGAAACAGATGGAACAAAAAGCACTGTGTGCTGAATGAAACAAATGGAACAAAAAGAACTGTGTGCTGAATGAAACAAATGGAACAAAAAGCACTGTGTGCTGATTTGGTGAATGTGAAAAAGAAACAATGGGTGCTGGAGCAAATTTCAACACTGCACTTTATGGTTTGTGATGCTTGGGAACTAAGTTCCAAGCCACTAGGTCTGGTGGACCAGCCTTTGCTGGTCGAACTGGTGCTGCAGGGTTAGCTGGAACCTGAAAGAGAGATTGAGACATGGTTGGCATTCATTTGGCTCTGTTGACCATGCCTCATCATCCTTTGGTGGTGCCTCCTGCTCCTGCAAAACAAAATGCATGGCATATATGTAACCCAGAATGCAATGCACATGCCATGGCTGTCCTCCATGGCACAGTTTTTGTGCGCATGCAGCTTGGCACTGCAAGCAAAAAAAGTGCAGCATGGTTGACATATGTGATTTGGAACACATGTTTGAACATCTTGGTGCTGAGAATGAATTTAAGCACTGTGTGCTGAACCACATGGACATGGAAACTGACAACTGAAAATGCTGTGAAGCACATGGTGCTAAACCATATGGACATGAACATGAAGCAAACAATGTGGCCCCAGAAGCTGCTAGCCATTATTTTCCCATCCAAACTTGACATAGTGGCTTCTCAGCATTTAGCCTTCTGGTGCTGGTTCTGGCCATCTGGTGGCACTGTGTCTCTCTTCCTCTTCCTGGTTTTCTTGGGTGACTGCAAGGTGATCTCTTGGATGTCTGGCTGCAAGCGTTGGAAGACTGCAGTGAGCTGGTCCTGGTCCATTTCAACCATGAGCTCATTGTGGGTGCCCCTGGATTTGGGGCAAAGGCAATGCACCATGGTGCCACCCACATCAATTTGCACAACCATGTCCATGGTTTGCTTGGCTGCCTTGTGCTTCTTGGCATTCTCATTGCCTATGCCTTCTCCATCTGGTGTAGGCATCAAAGACATGGTCAAAGCATCATCCCTTTTGGCTTTCAATCCCTGGAGCAATGCTGCATTGGTGAGGCTGGCATTCTTCTTTGGGTTTCCTTCAGTCAGCAACTGGGTAATCTTGTGGTGAGATGGCCTCAACTTCAGGTACCACACACCTTGTTACCCCTTCAGCAAATCTTCTGGCATGGTGGTGGCATAGCCATGCCAAGAAATGGACCACATTTGGGAAATGATTGCCATGGTGGCATCTTGAACCAGCACCAAAGCAAAAATTCAATCATGGGTATACCAACATGGAAAAGCACTCTGTGCTGAAATGCTGCATGGGAAAGCATTGGTGGACACTGTGTGCTGTAAGGGTTGCAAACACAAAATAACAATTTGCAAGCATTTTTCAATGCCAAGCCAATGCAAATCAAAATTGCACATTTCTGGAAATGTACATACATGGAATCTCAAGAGGTTTTGGCCTTCTTGGCCCCATTCTTGCTGGCCATTTCTTCTTCTGAGCAAAGGATTGTCAAAAATGTTCCTTGCTCAACTTTGGCATTGTTCCTGAGAATTGGAACTTGGAAGCCATTCTCTGTCTTGGCCATGTGGACCTCCATGTTGCCACCTGGGCTTTTCACCAAATGAAAAAATGGCACCAAAATACCTGTTTTCTTTTCTAAGCCCACCTTTGGTGGAATGATCTGGAACTTGAAATCATCTGGGCAATGAACCAAAGTCATGTTGGCTTTCACTTCTTTCACATGGGCTAGTTGGCCCATGGGGAAAATCTTCAGCTTGCCCTTGGCAAAGGTCTTGTTGGCAAAGGCACCAAAAGACCTTTCTGCAACTACCACTGAACCTTCTGGCAACAGGTTCCTCAGTTGAAAGCAACTAAAGGCTACATATACAAATTTGAAAACACAAAACAATGTCTAGAATTCTGGTCAAATTTCATTTCTTAGCAACCATATTGCAACCCAGCTACTCATGGTACAGCTGGGTCATGGCAATGGTGGCTTTTGCCTTCAACTTCTCTTGGTGGAAACTGCCCAAGCTTTCTGGCAAAAGGTCTTGCATGGCTTGGCTCAGAAGCAACTGTGGTGGCTCAGTGGCAGCCTTCTTGACATCTTTCAATTCATCCAATTCTACCTCCATCTTCCATGGTTGGCCATCTTTGGGTGGAAACAATGGCATGTGCACAAATGTGGCAACTGTGTCAGTGATGGATTTGAATTGCCAATGCTTCAAACCACCTTTCCTGTGGTAAAAGGTGTTCTCTTCCAGGCCCCATTTCCTTTTGGCAGTCAACTTGGCATCACTGCTCTCCTGCCAACAAACATGTTTCAAAGATAAAATTGACAAGAAGGATGGAAGCACTGTGTGCTGGATAAAATATTTTCAAACACAAGACGCACTCCTGGAAAGACTCTGGCACCTCTTGCTCTGCAGTGGAAGAAGAGCTGGGAGCTGCAGTGTTGGTGCCATTGAGAAGATCATGAAGCTCTTGGGAAAATGTGCTGCTGATCTCACCCAAATTTTCAAATTGAATCTCATCCCTGGACTTGTGCTGCTTCTTGGTGAGATAGAGTATGGACCTGACCAAAAACCTGGCAAAGAGATTTCTTCCATCTCTGGTGGCATGGAGGCCATGCTTCTGGACAATGGTGTATCCATGGGCCAAGTTGGCTTCACAGCTTGCCAAATTGGCTCTCATGGCTGGTGCCTTGAGCTTCTCAACATCAGTTTTGAGAAGCAACTTGCCTATGCCATCCTTACAAATTGGACTTTGAAGGTTGGCAGCTAAAAGGCCAGCTCTGACCCATGGAAAACTGCTGGACTTCTCCTTGAAATCAATGAAGGCAATGGTGGTCATGAAATCTTCCCCAATGGTCATTGTGTTGGTGAAGGCTTTGCCTGCAAACACATTTGGGAAACTGGACATGTGAAAAATCACAATTGGCATGCCTTGCTGAACATTGCAAACAAGCCATGTGCTATTGTAGCCAAGGTGCTCACATGGCCCAGCACATGAATGGTGTCAGAGTTGGTGCCACCACTATATTTCTGGACATAGTGAGCAATGGCAGCAATATAAGGCATGCACTTGGGTTTGGTGCTCTCTGCAAGCTGCAAAGCCTTCTTCAAGTCTTTGGTGTGGGCATAGTGGCTGGCCATGGATGCCATATCTCAATCTCTGTTTGTGCCTGGGCAATCCCATGGGAGGAATTCAAAGCTGCTTGGATCAGCTGTGGCAAATCTGGGAAGATATCTTCCACTTGGGCCACAATAATGTCCCATTGCCAGCCTTCTGTGCACATGGTGTAGAAGGGGTTCTGGTTCCCTTGGCTTCCACAACAGGATTACAAGTTCAGGTTGCCATTGTGGGCGATGGCAGCCAGTTCCTCATTCAAGGTGGTGCAGCCATGGAGCACAGCCTTGCAAAATTGGCTCAAATGGCTACTACCCAAGCTGAGAAACCTTTCCTGGCCACTTGGTGGGCACAAAGTGCCTTCTGATGCATGCACAATGGCTTCATTGGCAGCAATTTGGCTTTTCTTCTTGGCCATCTGGTTGGACACTTCTATGGCCACACTGGCTTGGATCTTGTTCAGATCTGGTCCAATGGCCAATATGTTGGCCCCTTTGTGGTGGCAATCATAGTGGGGCAGCACGGCACCACCTCTATTGAGTGGATGGACCAAGAGCTGGGTGGGCTTCAAGGTCTGCTGGTACATCAAGCCATTCTCTTGGAGCTTCTGCTGGATCTGCATCCACTTGGTGCCAATTGGCATGCTGGGGTCATCCTTGACCTTGGCGATGAACTTCTGCAGATTTTGGTCCATGGCAGCACAAAGGCAAATTGGTCTGGCTATCTAACAAAAGGTGACACATTTTCAACAATGAAATTTGCAATGGCATCACATTGTGGCATGCCATGCATGTTGTACACATGTGAACATTTGGAAAGCATTGGTGGCTTTGGAAGCACCAATGCCACTTGGAGCAACATACAGCTGGACCAACTGAAGCTACATGTGAGCATTTGGAAGCACCAAGTGCTATAGCTGCTGCCATTGGAGCAACATGCAGCTGAACCTTAACTTTTGAAAAGCATTGTCTGCAGTACACATGCATGTGAGCATTTGGAAAGCATTGGCTGCTTTGGAAGCACTGTGTGCTAAGTCTATAAAGAAACAAAGTGGGAACATGTTTCAATGGAAGCACTATGTGCTGAATGCATGCACATGCCTTTGCACATGAATAAATGCTTGGCTTTGCAACATGGAAAACATGTTTCTGCTGCACACAGAAAGCAGTGGCAATATTTTTTTTCTTCTGGAATGCTGTGCTGCAAGATGATGTTGCCAGGACAATCGCAAGGAAAACACAAAAAAAAACACAACGCAACCACCAAAGGCTAAATGAGCTAAGTTGGCTAAGATTTTAGCCCACTTATCAATCTTAGGTTAAATCTTAGCTAAGGTTGTTAAATTGGCTAAAAGCTTACAAGCATTTAACAATACTTTAGCAAGGATGTAACAACATACCAGCTTTGCTTTAACATACATCTAGCTAAGATGGATAAAGCTCTTAAACCGCTAGCAAGGAAGGGTCCTTCTCAAGCATGTTGATGCCAGAAACTAAATCGCACCATTTCGAGTGTTGAAAGGATCGGAAGCGACTGTTTTAGCCCTCCAGCAAAGCATGACACTAGGGTCTGAAGCAAAGAGCTACAACGTATCCAACGACTTGGATGCATAGAGCATCATAGAGCGGAATGGCGGCTGGCACGACAGTGTTTCACAACTAATTACCATTGACTGAGATAAGCCAACATCCAGAGGACCATGATATGGTCAGAGAGCCGTGTTGTGAAAATTTGTGAAATATTGCACACAACGTGTTTACGCATTTTGCACATTTGGCACGTTTGTGAGGTGATGCTAGAGGTGCAAGCACAGATGGGTGAGTATGCGCAGCTTAGGGGTGCTTGAGCCCGACCTGGCGCAGCCACTCAAAAAACGGCAAGAGCATCATACCGAATCATACCGCATCGATATTTGTTTCTTTGTGAGAACTCGTTTGGTCCTATGGATGCGTCAAACCTGCTATTCTGAATGAATCATGCTGAATCTGCATTCTGCATAGATTCTTGTCAGTAGGTTTGACACATTTTGTAGGATCGGTTTCTTATGGCGAATGCATGGGTTCCTCCAGGTGATAACATGGCTCACTGGGCATCACTCTTCTACAGCGATGAATTCCGATATATTCCGATGGTTTCAGATGTCATGGCGGCATTTTGAGTCTCTCACAGTGGCTGAATCACCTTCTCTGCAGCCGTGTTCCTTCTGTCAAGCGACTGGTTGCGGAGCCATAGAACAGAGTGCTGTCCTCAACGCAGACTATTGATTGGTGTATATTGCCGTTCACCGATATCCAGCAAATGAGAGATTAATTACCCCAAATCATATAAATCACGAGGAAGATGAGGAAGCAAATGTAGCAAAAAATTCCTCAAAGCGCTGGCGTCAAGTTCTTTCAAAGCACACGAGCCAGGTGCATGAGTTGAGCGAAGACGCGCCAGTGGGGAGGCTGGAACCCGTCAAGAGACTTAATCTGAATGTTGAATCATGCAAAGCATCCTGTATGGAAAGCCGAACCTGCAAAACGAGATGTTGCGGCGTGTATTGATTGAAACTTAGGCAAGCGAGGACTGCGGCAAATTCAACAGGAATCAATACTACTACATTACACAAATCAAACATTGAAATATAATTTGCGACGCCTTCTGCATATATCCCGCCCTGCAGAGTAAGGTGCTGAGCGACAGCGCCTGAGATCTTTTTGGAGGTGTGCCATTGTCAGACAAACTGCGACAGTTTTCCAGAGATCAGAGCTATTACTTGTTTGACTAACCATTTAGAGCCCACATGTGCAAGCAACGTGCTTGGAAAACAGATGCGACAGAGTCGGAAGATTCAGAAGTGCAAAGATGCTGGGGAAAATGGGTGCATCACTTTCTGAACGCCAGGCCTTAGAGTACGTTGAACCTCTCTGGCTGAACAGCTGAACACCGGGCAAGTGAGAATGGCGTGTTTCGCTTAAAATGTGAAAACGTTGCGCAGTTTGCAATGCAGAATCGTGGTGAATCCATGTGAATCCTCGAATTGCCAGGAAATTGTAATGAAATATACGAAACGCTATGAACCTCCTCATCTCACAGGGTTCAACTTGGTTCAACTTGCGACCCATCGCTTCAGCCGTGAATTCCATTTTTTTTAGAGGGATGTTCAAATGCCCTGCATGTCCTGCACTCTTCGAGGTTTGTTGGAATTTGGTACCTGCTATTGACTTCGGAAAATTTCAAATCATGCGCTAGTTGGTTGACCCCATTGTGATCGTTACTTTGCACATTGTTTTGGGACGACTTTGAGCGCATGATACCAAAATCATACTGGGGGTACCCTTTGTGAGCTTCCAAGACAAACGGTAGTAATGATTAGTAATGAGGATCCATGAAGGATCAAGGAAGTCATCTTCCCAATCTGGGGGTCGGAAAGGGGCGCTATTCGAATTGGCTGGTCCATTGGACCCAGAGAAGGGAGAAATCATCTCAAGATGGGCCAACATGTCTGATTTCATCTGATTTCTGTTTCCGAAAACGGGAGGATTTTTTCGCGAGGAAACAGGAAACCATTGGTTTTGAGGGTCTCAAAACTTTGTGAACATCGCATATGATACCTAGGTACAGGATAGATAGAGTTTGTTTTTGTTGGGTTTCAGGTCAATGTGTGCAGCATCCATGAGGAAGGCAGGTGAATTTCGGATTCTACTACATGGGAAATCATTAAAATAGACTCTAGTTGACCCAAAATTGTCCCTGACGTATTTTGGGGTCTAGGTAAACATCAAACATTTGTTCACATGTGGTTTCCCTCTCCTCAGCTGAGGAAATCGGCGACAACAGGACAAGGAAATGCGCAATGTTTCAAACATCAAAATTGGGATAAATTAGGTAGAAACTATTGAGAGCGAATTTGAGGGACCTGCAGGCCGATAGAAGAGTAATTAGACAGGAGACTGTATATAAAGCAATTGACTGAAAACTGCACTCTCGTGTCAAGAGAAGCGCCTATTCCACATCACGGTCCCCAAATGGCCGAGCTATTCAGGTTAGTGAAATATTCTAATTTACCCAGAGATATAGATTTATAATAATATTACATCAGAGGATTTTTTCCATGACATGTCACCATGTCACCATGTCACCATGTCACCATGTCACCATGTCCTTTCAGGCCAAGGACATGGAGTCCAGGGCCAAAACGCAAGAGGCTGCCGAAAGCCAAGAGGTGCGGCACCACCATGGGAGGAAATTATGGGAAAATTCACCCGGTACAAGGCAGATTGAAACCACAGACTGGGACCATAGAAATTCAGGATGTTCATGTGAAACCGGGGGACGGCATCCTGCCACCAGTGAGGCAAGACGGCGTTGCAGAGACAGGCCGAGCATCAGGCGGCGTGGTTGGAAGGCGGTAAGCCAGTTGGAGCTATAGCAATGGGCATCCCAGTCATTCCCAGTCAAAAAAAGTGAGCCAGTTGGAGCTATAGCAGCTATAGTCAGAGTTTCCCAGCCTGATAGAATGGTCGAAGGGAAAATGATTATCAACCGTGATTCGAGGTGCCCAGGTGCCCTGTTTTCAGACAAAGCCATATCTTGCAACCGTCAGGAACCATTATGTCAAAGAGATTAGATCAGTGATCTTGATATCTTGTAAAGCAACTGACTGCCCAAATTCAGTAACTGCTGGTCTAGTTGAACTCGCAATACACATCAGTGTAGAGTGGTCGACGCACATATATTGATGACCCCCCAACAACCCTATATGTTGATGCGCATATTCCTATCACAAATTTGCAAGCCTCAAATGCTCCATCTTCCACATACCTAAGAGGCTTTCAAACAACCCCCCAAAGTGGTTGTGTCAAATCATCCTGGTTTCCTTACTTTGTGTCTCAAAGGTTAGTGGAAGGCGGGAGATTTCTGTATCCACATTGTCAGGGGTTACCCTCTGCTTATTTAACGTAGCGAACTGGAAAATCACCATTTTTAAGAACAGCACATCATCATTTTTATCATATAAGTGGATCATTTTCCATGGCTAAGTTAAATAACCAGATGGCGTATAGAAGTAAGCGAAAACCAACCACTTAGACAACCCAGGGAATTCTCCCTCTTTCACTTGTCATCGCAATATTCATTGAGGTAAGATCTGCAGGAACCCCTAATAATCAATTTGGGCGTAAACACATTGGTTTCGGGTTTTAGCAACCACAAAAAGATAGAACAAACAAATCTACTCATCCAGTGGCTAGTGGTAAATTGATGTAAATTCTAGTTTTCTATTTGCTTGGGGGTTACTATTTCCCAACAAAACCAGTCCATGATTTCAGAATCCACCAAGTTTTCCACTTCCCAGGCTGCTGAGCTCCAAAAGCTGATTGTGCAGCAGAAGGAAATGGAACAGAAGCAGGTGGCCGGACCCTTTTTTGTGTGCCGGAAGACGTGTTCTTAATATGGGGGATTGATCCTCCAGAAATGCTCGCCAGTGGTTGGAACACAGCGTTTTGGAGCAGTTTCCAGGCACTGAAAAACACCACTGGGATTTCAAGATCGAGAAAGATGATACCCTCAAGTTGGAAGGTTCTAGAATGCCCCCCCCTGGGGATAAACACGGAGGGTTCTAGAATGAAACATTGGCATTGTAGAACCTCCGGTCCCGTAAGCATTGTAGAACCTTGGAAGCTTCTATAATAGCATATGATGATATATGGT